TATAGGGCACCGTCCAGCATCCAGCGGTCCTCATGCATAGAGATAACGAAAAGGATTTACCTTGACAGCCTGCCTTCTGGTGATGTAATTAGCAGATTCAAGCAACTTCGAATTATAATCTGCAAAGAACTATCAGCGAAAAGGTAACAATTAAATTAGAAACACAGTAAGAGAAAGGGTTCATTGAGGAAGCCAGGAATAATATTAGTAATAACCAGAAATTAAAGATAAAGTGAATAGAAGAGAACATAATGTTTAGCAGGGCATCTCGGTGAAAAAACTTACCCAGTCATAGTTTTTCGAAAGAAATTCTGCTACAGTTGACTTATGCCTGGTCAACAGTTCCTGGAAAAAAAAAAAGCATGAATCCTGTTAGTGATTGAATGCGGAGACACTACGCAATCCAGAAAGAACGCGAATAACAAAGAGTCAACAAAAGAAAGACTCTTCTCGTATAAAACACGGATAATGAAGCAAATTGAAGATCAAGCAACAAATTGCAAAATAAAAAGGATTAAGAGGGAAATATACACAACCTTGAATGTGGCAGCTGCATCTGAAGCAATGTCAAAATTTGGGAGTTGTATGTAATCGAAAAATTTCTTCATATGCTCTGATTCTAGTACATACCTATATACCAAAACAGAAAAAAAAAAAAATATATATATATATATATATATATATATCAGAGACAAAAAATGATCTAGTTTTCCCAGACGGGGAAATTGATCTATGCATATATGAATTTCTTTTGCATATGAATTTCTTTTGCAAATTATGATAACAAAAAAAATCTAAATAAGCATGGAACCTTCTACTATTGACTCACCTTGCAACACTTTGGTGACGTATGCATTCCCTCAACATTGCACCGTAATGTAATGCCAGTTCGTTATTCTCGTAACTACATCCCAACAGCAACGAAAAATTAAAGTTAGCATATTCTGAAAGAAAACATCTTTTATAAATAAACATAGAAGAATGCAGAAAAGCAACAGATTTAATTTTAAAGCATCAATCTTTCCCAATGTTCTCATCAAGACGTCACAGTAAAAGAACAATAGAAATTAAAGAAATAGATAATAACATCCACACGAAAAAGTAACCCCATCCATTTGATGGACCGCAGCTCTACAAACTACAACGCAATTGCTAAAACATACTAAGCCTATCTCCGTCATCATCCAGACTGACGAAAGTCTTTAAACCTTAAAACCTTCTGAAAACATTGATGATGAGACATAGAGTTACAACAACAGGAAAATTATTTTTCATACCAACAAATCTCAAATTCACCTTTCAGATGCACTATATCTCCACTTTAAACAAAACTCTTGTAATAATAATAACTTGGTATTTATGTAACAATTTAGATTTCTGCATCCTTAAAAGTCAATGTATATAAACTTCATGCAAAGACTTCCATGCTACTTTACCCGGATATCAAGATATCCATGAGGTCTATGTTCTTTTCCAAGTAATCACAAGCAATCAACCTCGATTGAACCTGTTGCCTCTGCAGGTTTGCAACAACCTGCGTAGCATCTTTTCGTGTCTGCAAACACTCGTCTTATTAGTCGACAAGATCATTTCATCATTCTCATATAAAGAACTAGCTATGACACCAATAAGTTCACAACATTCATAATACTTATTCTTACCATCACATCCCTTCAATTTCAAAAGTAAATCTGAATACGCCCAAGAAGAAGAATTGTTAAAACTTCTACTGATCAAGTTCATGAAATATCCTAAAGTTACCTCTAAGTTCAACTTGGGAAGGCATATAATTAGCAGACGTAGAGTGTTCTCTCTGAAAAACTCCTGTGTCAACTGTGTGCAGGCTTCGGCCACGGGCTCAGATTCACTATCCCCGTAAAGAACTTGTTTTAATTCTCGGATAAGCTTGCCCAACTCCATCATCTACATAATATTATTGCTAAAATCAGACAACACAATAAGCAGAAGATTGTGGTGATAACCACCATACTCCATGATAATACCAAATAATCACACAATCGCCAATTACAAAGAAGCCACGATACATATGAAAATTAATTAAAAAAAAAATTGCGGGAACCATATAGTAAACACCACACAGGAGTTCTGTTTTCTCAATCCATTATTCTAATTCCATCACAATTTTCAGCAACAAAAAACCACTAAACTGCTGAAAAGCAGCAATTAACGTTAGAAAAAACAACCTTGTCGTCGCGCTTGCTCTCCTTAGTGTCGGACACGCCGCCGTCTGCGAGGACGAGCAGATCGCGAGTCTGCCGCACCAAATCAGCAGGAGTCTTCGGCTTCGCCTTGAACAAGACCTTCATTTTGGCGTTCTCTGTGCCGCCATCGCTGTGTTCGGCCACCGAAAGCTTCCGAACCAGTGACGGCTGCGCCGATGGACGACGCACCGGCGGCGGAGCCCCGCGGCCGCGGGTGCCGCCGCCGCCGCCGCCGCCACTTGACAAACAGCCTCCTATTTTCGGTAGTCGCACAATCCCGGGAATCCCTTCGACAATTGCGGGCTTTTGATGTCAGTTTCGATTGGTATCAACCTTTGAGTTTCGGATTATCCGATTGGATTTAAACTAAAATTTCGGGATTACAGTTTAACCAGAAATATAGGAGTCAAATGTCTGGTAAAGAAGTGGAAGGTGTTTTCGAATTGTAACAGTTGATCATGTTAATCGTGACTCACCTGATCTGTTGTTATATTTTATTAATTTATACTTATCTATCTAAGAAAGTTTATATAAATTCCAACCACCCATTTTATTTCAAAGCATAAAGTTACAATAATCTTTTTGATTTCATATATTAAATAAGGAAATTAGATATAAATTCCAACCCTTCATGTTTTTTTTTTTTCTTTTCAATAGATATCCAAAAAAAATAGTTACTTGTTAATTCCTTTTTTCTATTGATAGTCAGCCACGATTCCGGAGCTATGCCCCGACTAATCTGTTGGTCGACCCAGGTCGCACACCTGGTAGTGGTGAGTGAGTCTTTCAACAAGGGTTTTGTGCATCCACAAGGACTCGAACCCGAGACCTTGCTTAAAGGACATCAAGCTGCTTACACTTGAGACAACCCCTATTGGTGTTAATTCCTTTGAATAGATAGTAAAAATATATCATAATATTTAAATGTTTCATTTAGATATTATTATACGATGAGTCAATAAGTGATTTTGTTTAGCAAATACATTTTTTTTTTTCCTCAAACAATAAACTCCAATAGAAATTGGAGTATACATAGTTCGGTAACCTAAAGATTCCAAAAGCCCAAACTGAAGGAAATTAACCCAAAGAACTTAACCGGGGGAAAGACAACAAATCTCCCCTATTACAGCCACCACGGCCCACAACCAAACAAAAGTAACTAAGAAAAACAAAGCAAAAAAAATCACTTAAAAAACACCTTAAAACATCAAGAGGCAAACGTAATACATGTCATAAATGACCTCGGCTAAAACCACCAACTTTGTGTCTAATGCAGCCTTAGAGTTCAGAGAATTGGCTAGCATTTTGTTATGTGTAAATACCTCCACCTCTTGCCACCTTTCATGTACTCCTTTGATAAGCCAGTCTCGAATACCAACTAACTCCTCTTCCACATGCAAATGATGCTCCTCACCAACTGACCACAACCATCTGAAAACCAGAACTTCTTTCTTGAACGCAAGCCCTCTTAGTTTTTATCAGTTTCAATAACACCAATAGCACTAGGTACATCAAAATACACCCATACTCTTTCAATTATTGCTCTTCATGATCTCTCTGAAGTTTCACACCCCTGGTTGTATTTCTCACTATGATCTGCAGTGAGCTCTCAAACTCCATACATTCCCCTCTGCCTTTTTCTACTAACTGTACTTCCGTTATTTCTTTCTTCTGAAAATCTAATTGTTCCTCATTTTCCATATCCACCATAACAAGTATGTAGATAGGGAAATTCTGTCCTTGTTATGGTCATTATGCTTCAATGTACAAAGATCACTTTACCAGTCCTTAAAATTCACCTTCTCTCTATCAAGTTTGCCCCCATTTTAGCCCTGTTTGCCTATAGTTTTAAAGCTCGACCGCAAGTGTACGGCTTCGCTCGTAGTATGTGGCAAGCAAGGTCGTATCCCAAGAGACCAAATAATTAATATATTAAGTACAAGATTATGATAGTGTCAACTTTATTTAGACGACCGAATATGAGATTGATTAACTAAACAAAAAAAATAAATGAAAGGAAATAAAGTAAAAATAAAGAACTAGCTAGATCAACACGTAAGAAAATATATGGGAACGATAGATTCTAAGACATTGGGTTCAATTAACAGTTGGGTTCCTTCAAAAATATCACAACTAAATGTTTTATTTATCTACCCTGTAAGATGATCACAAATTTAGCATATTGTCCCTCTCTAGATCGATAAAACCATAGATTAAATCACATATATTGGCGTCTCCACTCAACACATGCAATTCAACTCCAAATAGAACAAAAGATCTAATATCCTCACAACGACCTACTAATCTCTCGATTCAAGCAAGTAAATTGTGTCAAATATTAAAGACTTAATATTGAACTCATCTCTCGAATTATGAACAATATTGTTAAACATGCAAAAGCATTGGCCAAGTGCTAAACATGAAATAAGAACAAAATATTTGAATAGGGTTCAAAAGAAAGACAATTAATTATAAATAAATCATCTAAAATCCCAACATATTAATCTACTACCAAGTCTTAGAATCAATAAATCTAGCCACTCATGTTCGAATTCAAACACATAGACATATTAGAAATCGACATGATCAATAAAAGTTCAAAAGGAAAGAAGAAATAAAAACTAGGAATCTCGTCGATCTTTCAATCTTCTTGATCCCTTTGTAGTTGATCCTCTTTTTGCTTCCCAATTGCTTTTCTTGTGTGTTCTAGGACTCCTCTCTTGTGTTCTCCACGTTCTCCCCTTCAAACTAAGGCTAATATGCGTTTTTATATGTCCAAAACTCATTTTCTTATCCAAAAAGGCAAGCTTTAAAAATCTGTCTGCGCGCGCGACACGACCAGTCTGCCCGTGTCGTTGCCCGTGTCAGGTACCTGGGCCTCGAATTGTCTCTGGTGAGGTGACACGAGCATGGTGCTCGTGTCACTGCCTGTGTCACAAATCTGCACTTTATTTTCCACTTGTTTCACTTGTTTCTTCCATTTTTCTCATCCGTGCATCAATCTTTCATCATCTCGGGGTTCCTAGGTACTCACACCACGCGCCTCCAATAGCCAAAAGCTCTACTAAAGTGTAGAAATATCTACAAAACAAGCACGTGTAATACCTTTCTAACAAATATAGAATTAAAGCACAAATATGCAATTTATACACCAATAATGCAATGACTAAGCTCTAGATACTATATAAATATGGTGTAAAATCACACATGAACAAGCCAAGCTATATTCCGAACTTTAAATGCTCCAAATTCTCCTGTTGCTCCCCACACCAATTACACACAGTGTAAACTCTCACTCATTTTATTCTCAGCATCATTTTTGTGCCAATCCAGTTGTGCCAACACCTCCATATAAATTATTCACTTGTTGTTCAATTGGTAGATGCCAAAAGGTTTTCCACATTTGTTGCAGCCCCACATTACCTCCACTGGACTCAATCCTTCCCTCGGCTTCTTTATTATTCTGCCTAATGACTTAATAGACTCCTCTAACTATGAAAACTCCCCTCTTATCTGAATGCCAGACCAATCTATCTGTCACACCCATATGACTGATATGAATTTTCAGGATGTGCTCACCTCAGTTTGCTCAAAATCAGCAAAATCAGTTCTTTGTCCCACTGCTTCCCGCCTACTACCATTAGCCCAAAGACTGTTTTCAGCATGTCCCTATCATCACCAAAAGAACATAGAGGTGTAAAATGAGGAACATCTGTGATCCAAGAGGAATCCCAAATTTTAATAGAGAGGACATTTCCAACCTTATATCTCAGACCTAGTTTTATTGAGTTCCTAGCCTCAAGCCAGCACTTCTAAATCCAAGAAGCACTATTCTTTTTCTTCAAATTCATAAGACTTTCGTTATGAAAATACTTCCCTCTCACAAGTTTGCTCATCAAAAGGTTCGGTTTGGTTAGTACTCTTCACACATGTTTAAGGATCAAAGTTTCATTAAACTCAGGGAACTGTAAATCCCATCCCCCTTCACACTTTGGCTTAGCAAGTTTTTCTCAATTGGCCTAGTGAATACTATATTAGAATAATTTATTTTTCTCATAAACAATTAGCGAATACATTTTTCTACCTGGCATAATTTATCTCCTGATACATGTTGACAAAGGTTCATGTGGGAGATGTGGTAAACCCATTGTCTTAAATAGCTCGCTATATATTTTTTTTTCGGAAAAACGCGACGTAGTCTTATATATTTAGATTCATACTTTCAACTTGATAAGATAAATTATGATTCATACGTTCAACTTGATAACATAAAACTAAAAGATTTGACAATTGAATTTTTGGGTTATTTTTGTACGATTACTTAGGTGTGCGAGATGTTCAAAATGATTAGATTATTTTTACGTTCTATTATTCTGCAATTTTGGGTTATGTAAATTTAGATTAATAAAATATATTTATTAAAAAAAATATGAGTATATGTATTAATATATATTCTGGAAAATTTTGTTACCTTTAAAATTAGATGAAAATATCTTTCACAACGTATTAAAACATGGGAGCTTGATAATGTATGAATAAAAAACAAATATTTGAAAAATGCTCTTATAGTTTATTCATACTTAATTAAATAGAGTATGAATTAAGTATGCCCAGAATATTTATCTTCACCCATCAGTGCCAGACAAATGGTGTTGGTCTGTCGGTAGTAAAGGGAAATATTCAGTGGCGTCTTGCTATGAGTGGTTGCTTAATCAGGGTACTAACACGAAGACGTCGTGGAAAAAGATTTGGAGGCCTGACGTTCCAGAAAAAATTAATTTCTTCTGTTGGCTTCTTGGGCAGCGTTCGCTTCCTACTAAGGTTCTTCGTCACCGGCGGCATCTAGAAACAACGGGTGCTTGCACGATTTGCGGGGATGGAACGGAGACCTGGGTGCACATGTTCTTCGAGTGCCCGTGGACTACGCAGGTTTGGGCCAGGTTAGTTCGTTGTGGTTTTCCCTATTGGCTGGCCCACACGATACCCCGTGATAGCCATGGTCTGGATTTCATCGTTAATGCGCCGGTGGGTATGCGATTTGCACTTTGGTTTATATGGCTGGAACGTAATAACAAGGTGTTCGGGAATCCTTATAATTCTCCCTTTGCTGTAGTTAAGGAAATTCTTTCATTTTTTCAATGGTGGAAGGATGCACGGCTGCGGGCAGATAGGCTCATGGATGGGGTTAGCCATGACATTATGCCGAAAACAGTAACATGGAACCCCTTTTATTGTATGGGTATGATCTTGCATACGGACGGTTCGTCCATGGGTAATCCGGGTCCTTCCGGCTTTGGAGTTGTCTTGCACACTCATGAGGGGGTGTGGATTGAAGGCATTTCAGGGAACATTGGCATTGCAGACAATACGTTGGCCGAGGTGATTGCTATTCTCGAAGGGCTAACTTTAGCAGTGGCTCGGGGGTGTACAACTCTTACCTGCTACTCGGACTCACAAGAGGCCCTCAGGTTGATTAACACGGCAACAGTTCCTAATCATGTTATGGGGGGGCTGATCATGAACATCAGGGACAAGATTAGCTCGATCGCAAATTTACGGTTTTTCCACATTTGGAGGGAGGGAAATTCCGTTGCAGATCGCTTGGCAAGGAGAGGATCCAAGGAGGAAGCTTTCTTCACTACTTGGGCTTTTCCCCCGGACGATCTTCTCACTCTGTTGGCTAAGGACGCAGCTATGTTTCCTTACCCGCGCTTATAACCTTTTGTGCTTCTTTTCTGGTTGCATTCTCTGTTGTTTTTGTATCTCTTCTCTTATTGCTTTTTCTGCTTTTCTTTTTTCTTCTCCTTTTAGCTTGTATCGGCTTTGCCGTTCTATTCCAAAAAAAAATTAAATAGAGTCCATAATTAATAAAATATCAAATAGAGATATTTCAAATGGAGTCTTCTATTTTTGAAAAATACTCTTCTATTATTTTGATCTCAAATCCCCCCTATATATATTATTCCAGAATGCGCTGAGCCTACGTGGCTGCTTTTGGTGTTTCGGAATCTTACTTGGCAAAGAATCATGCTTCATAATTAGGTTTGAACAAATAATATTGATATATTAATAATTAATAATTTAGGTTTGGACATTCCATAAATATTATTTAGCTAACTTATGTATTTTAATATCACTTGTACTAATATGACCCTTTATTTCTTTGTAATTTTACATACTGAGGCACTAAGTGACTAATGTATCACTGACTTTTGATTTGTTTCCTTCAATTAGCTATTGAATTATAAATGTATTTTAAAAGTCGATAACTTCTGTATTTCATATCGGTTTTACATATATAATATATAATTAATCATCTTTTGATGCTCTTCGATTTGACATCCATATTGTATGTATGAAATAAATAAATTATATTTATATTTATAATAATAAAAAATAATTATATTTACTAAAATTCATTAGAAAAATAAAATTATTTCTCAATTGATATATTTATGCTTAATGTAGTTATATGCTGTAAGTTAAAAAAAAAATTATTATAATATAACACATGTAAGTTGCACAAATACAAAGTGTCATATTAAATATATAATAATATATATATTTTTATAAAAGGTATTTAAATTTTTCCAACTACTTTTTCTCATTAATTTTAGATTTAAAAAAAAAATAGCAAGCACCCGTGTAATACACGGGCGTTGTACTAGTATGTAAATAAATGGAACTCAATATGTGCGAAATTAATTAAATGGAGTCTATACTTAAGAAATGTCAAATCGGGATTTTCTGTTATTTTGAGTTCAAATTTATATAAAAACTGAAACCAAAGCGTATCAAGTTAATTAAATTTTGCCATTCCGACTTAAATTTGCTAAAGAATTGTAAGTCAATACATTTCAACTTTAGATTGATATCCGATGCGATAGAAAACAAATTTGCCAGAAAAAAAAAAATGAATATAATTTTTTTAGATAAAAATATGTTCTTAAATTATAATTATTTTATAAACGATTGGTAATAAAAATTAAATTCTCCCTATCCTCCCTATATATAATTCCCGAATACGCTGAGCCTACGTGGCTGATTATGATGTTTCGGAATCCTACTTGGCGAAGAATCATGCTTCGTAATTAGGTTTGGAAAAATAATATTGATATATTAATAATTAATAATTTAGGTTCAGACATTCAATAAATATTATTTAGCTAAGTTAGGTACTTTAATAATATTTTTACTAATATAACCCTTTAATTCTTTGTAATTTTATATAGTGAGACTAATATATCCCTGACTTTTGATTTGTTTCCTTCAATTAACTAGTGAATTGGAAATGTATTTTAAAAGTTGATAACTTTTGTATTTCATATCGGTTTTACATATATGATATATCAAATTAATCATCTTTTGATGATCTTTGATTTGACATCCATATTGTATATATGAAATAAATAAATAATTTTTATCTTTATAATAATAAAAAATAATAATATTTATTAAAAATCATTAGAAAAATAAAATTATTTATCTATTGATATATTTATGTTTAATGTAATTATATGTTGTAAGTTAAAAAAATTATTATAATATAACACATGTAAGTCACACAAATAAAAAAGTGTCATACTAAATATATAATAATATATATATTTTTATAAAGGTATAGAAATTTTCAATTAATTTTTCTTATTAATTTTATATTTTACGAAAAAATTAGCAAGCACCCGTGTAATACACAGGCGTTGTACTAGTATAATTATAATTTGTAAAATATATCTGAAGCAACATTAATCAATTTTTTAAATTATAGGAATACAAAAGTTTCTTTTCCAAATTTCATCCATTCTTTTTTTAGAAAGTCTAAAATTATTTTGACTTACTATATATTATAAATCTTATTTTATTTTTATAGTTATAGATTTGAATACACCATAATCAATAAACTATTTAAAAATAAATTATTTTAAAAAATAGTCAGTGT